CTAAAAATCACATAAAAGCCATTTGCTTGCTACGTATGACACAAATCTAAGCGCTTACTCCATTTATCCACTGAAGGTGAATTCTAGCTTAACTGCAGCTGTCCTTAAAGTCTATTGTCACGTCCAACAAAGTCCTTTTTTGTGGCCCTCAAGTTATTCCTGAACCCAACATATTGTGTTTTTATTTGAAATTAACCGTATTATATACGTGTTAAAGGGGTGGAAGACCAGTATTTCAGTTCAAATTACAGGATTTTGAAATAACCAAACCTTAATAAGCTGTTTTCTTCCAACCCTTTACGAGGTATACTCGGGCTTAGAACGACATTTCGAACTGCATGATTTGCAACCGGCCTCGCGAATTGCCTTTCGCGTGCGAGCTGTAAATGCGGCGGGCGCAGGAGGATGGAGCCCTGTGGGGAGCTGTGTAATGCCTGCTGCTCGACCTGACCAGCCTTCCGGTCTTACCCTGGATTCTTCCTCGCTCCTGGCGACGCCTGCCGCTGCAGCAGCCCCTGAAGCAGAGATTTCTGTTGGCGGTGTCTCCATGACCACTGCCCGCCTTGTCTGGATCGCTCCTTTTGACAATGGCTGCCCCATCACCAGTATGCGCTTCTTAATCCCTTCATTTTGATGAACAGTTTATCAGCTTACGCTATGTTTTACTATTTTATTTTTAGAAGAATAGACAAAGATATGACACCTTAGTATTATTGTCCTAATAGTAAAATTAAATACGAGAAGTTCGAATGCAGAACTACTCAATTGCGGTAGTGGTAGGACCTTGGAGTAACCGGAACCGAAGTGGACTAGGCACAGACAGTATTGCATAGCAGCAATGTGATGAGACAAGGATAATGAAAGTTATCGAGCATTGATGCAAATAATACATGCAGTTCTTGTTCATTTTTTTGTGTCTCCATTCTAGTGTTGGATTGTCAATGTGTTCCGTTTCTTCCTCCCCCTCCCCTCCTTGACTATTATTTTTCTTAAAATATTTGTCTAACGATTTACTCTTGAAAAGTTGTGAAGTCAGTAAAGTTGGCTCCCTTTTGAAATTAATTGAGAGGGTATCGTGAATTGGTGTAGACAACAAAAGCTACCGAAGATGTTAGCTAACTCTCGGGGATTTGTTACGTTCAGGATGCAGCTCCACGAGAAGAGTGACCTTAGCCCAACCTCTGGCACTTCGTTAGGCGCTGCAATATTTTCGCAAACAGATATTCTTACCACTAATTTCTTTATTTATTCAACACTCACGTTAGTCTCCAGGCCATTGTTAAGACCGCTTTTCAAAAAAACAACGAGATTTACTTTATCATTCCTGCATGTTAACGGCGAAAACCTGAATTTCGTCCATTTCTTTTATAAAGTCTTGCTTATTCTTTATCGTTTGGAATTTGAGTACTTTTCGCATTTAAATTTTGGTTATTAAATTTAAAAGAATTGTTCTAATGAAGTAAAACTCAATTGGTTACGCATGTGCATTTTTCTGTTGAATCGCCAGAACCTTTTCTATCAAGGATTTAACGTTGCTTGTGCATGTGACATTCGTTACACTGCGTAAATGCAATTGGACGACTGAGCTTTGGTCCTACTCCGGATTTCGGGCATTTAATTCATTAAATTAATCTCGGAGCTTGCTAGCAAAATAAATTTTAAATTTATGGCATAGTTTTCTCCGTTAAAATTAGCAGACCATTTATAGTGCTTTGGGGAAGTAGTTTATCAAAATAAATTTTAAATGGCAATCTCTAATTTGATTTTCATCTGAATGCGTAGACCACTCCTTCTTCTCCGAAACGTCGAAAATTTCATACAACTGCAGTGTCCAAAAATTTGGAGATATTTGCGGACATCTATGCACATTCTGTATTTGGTGGAAGGTATGGGAAGCCACCGTTGCCCCTGAAACAAATAAACGTCTGTCATAATTGTTACAGTGTCATTCCCCCATCGCCTAGTAAACCTTGGCAGCTCATCTACCACTTGAAACATCTTTCTGGACGTCTGTACCGACATTATCCAGCTTTGACTGCACGCTTTGCGAAAGATGTAATTCTGCTCTCTGGAAAGGCTTTAATAGTTTTCCATTCGGCTCTTGTCCTCTTTTTACGTGCCAATTCTACATCTCAATTTGGTCTGCTTACATTCGTATAGAGTGAATTAGAAACCCAATTAACTTCAAACAAATTCGGACCTGCATGTTTTTTTAAATACCCTTTCGCTGTGTTTTTTTGGACATTTTTTAACCTCATCTGCGAACATTTCGAAGTTGCAATTATTAGTCTGGAGTTGAGGATACACGATTAGACGTTTAACTCTCATCATCACTATGCTATGTGGCTCAGTCAGTTGTCCAGAAATCAAGGCTTTCAGATTTGGAGCACGGATTTCTACCGTTATTTTCCATAAAATAGATATATGCTATAGATTACTTTGGATAAGAATAAGTACATTCAGTCGCTGTCCTGTATGTGAAAGCTCTTCTTAATGCGACGCGAATTGGTTGACTTGAGCTATGATCGGGTTTTGATAGAATAAGAGGTACGGGAAAGCGTTCCACAGTTTCATTTAGACTGCCATCGAATTTTGGGCTAACACGACGTCAGGAGTTTCGTTTCTGTTTTTTCTAAAATGCAAGGAATTCGTTTAGAGGATACTTTTCAAGTCTGAAGCTGAAGCTTCGATACATTTCTGAATGAACTGCTTTCTCCAAATGAATGTAGTCCCTTTTTCAGTGGTAATGCTCCTGCATCTTTCAATAAGATCATGTGTATTTCAGGAATACAACCTACACTTCATGATTGCCTGGTTAAAATGTTTTCCTCGGGGCCCAAGAGCGCAAAGTGGTATCGAAATCTGACCTATGAATAGCTCATTCACAAGAGAATTGTTTTATAATTTGTTTTGTTGACACTAATTAGTCTATTGTTGTTTTGGGTGATTTTGACAAAAAACAGTCATTATTCCATCATCCTATTAGCACAAAGCAGCTAATTCGTCCCTACTGAGACAAATATGTTCGCCCATTTAACGAGTGATTTATGAAACCTCACCTTTTGAAAATAAACACTTGGAGATTTTTAACTCTACATTCGCCAATAAAGGCGTATGAGTAGAATAGGAACAGTGATTTTTTGTCCTCACAATGAGGCATAAAACTTACTGATAACATTTAATGAAGGCCTGGCCTTTTGCTATTTGCAGAGACCGTCATTTGACTTGACCGACACAGGTAAGTTAAAACTGGCAGTGATTGCAAGAAACTAGTTTCACTAGGCTGGTTTCCCCCTGGTATGCATGCTTGTTAACAAATTCCTAAATTGAAGTTGGCTTTGGGTCTTGAAAAACCAACTTCGTAAATTTTTTCAGCTCATATAGCCGTCCAAGTAATTGCACTTTATCATCCATTCTACAATATCACCTTAAGTATGGCTACAAAATGCTTTCACTCATCTAAGTCGCGGCTGAACTATATTTTTGAATATCCTGGGTTTCATGGATATGCAAACCTAGGACAAATGTGGAACACGGTCAGAAAAGTCCACTCATCCCTTTTCGTTTTATGCTGGTTTAAATGCCACAGATTTAAGTGTAAAATCGTCTCCTATATTAGTTCATTTTGTATCATTAATTTGTCCCCTCAGTTTGAAAGTGATGTCAATTTGTAACCGGTGAAGTTGACCGATGACAATAGCGCTGTAAAAAGGTTGGACTTTTTGCGTACTTTTTGTGGTGTCTTGAGATCCGAATCCGCAAAAGCACGGCCGGTTTCTGCCACTCTTTATCCAGGTTACAATCTTGAAGTGACTCGCTACACCAATGGTCAGACCTCGACACCCGCCCTGTCGACTGGAACAAGTCACTCTCACACTGTATACCTCCCTCTTTATGTTGACGGTGAAGATCTTATTCAAGCAAAAGTAACGGAATCTCTGCCACTACCACCTCCATCTCTGCCTCCACCTCCTGACTCTTTCTCGGAGGAGGAGGCCGTGAGGGTGGAGAGAGGCGGAAGTGCAGGGGAAGTAGGAGATAGACTTAATAACGGGGATTGTGGCGACCTTCGAGACGTCTTCTGCATTCCCGGTCCCTCCAGCCTCCTCCTTCAATCCTCCCCGGTCTCGGCCTCGCCCTCTCCCCTCCTCTCTCTAGGTATCGATTCAGGTTCCGGACTCTCCTCCAATGTCTCTTCGGAAAGTGGTCATCAACACCATTACCAGCATCTTCATGCGAGCGTTTCCAAATCCCTGGGTCTCAGAGTACGTCATCCACCCGGTGCAATGGGCGTCATGGAATACGTCTACTACACTCTTACCGGACTGGAAATCGGAGCTAAGTATCGGTGGGTTTTAGGATTACGCTTTAATGTGTTAGTTACCAGCGCCACATGTTAGACGTCCTGACTTACAAATGCATGGCAAGCGCTCTTAAGTGGCTGCATCAAATAGTATTGTGAATAGATTAATCGAGTTTAAAACAATGAAATAGATGTAAGATGTTCTTGATCTGAGGATAATCCCATTCGTTATTTCTAGAGCAGCAGTTTGCTTAGGAGGTTTAGTAGTGCAAGCGATGGTGTCATTAGAGCCATAAGAAATCTGGGTTGTTACGATGGTCGATTGTCCTCTAAGACTCTTGCATCGGATGTGTTACCGATCTTAGCTCGGGTTTGGTACCCATAAAAGTATTCTTACAATGATTCAGAAGTACCACTCCTCGTCTTTTAACCAGCGTCATTTGTATCGCCTAACTGGTCATTTTAGGGGCATAGGTTCTCCGAAAAGCCTATTTTAATAGTATCGTCCACGAAGCTAACTCAACCACACAAATATTTCGTAAAGGATAAAAAATAACTATCCTGCGTAAATTCTAACCTCGAACTCGGAATTTAGGGTTGAGTCACGCATCAGCCAAAGCTTTACTTAATTTTGTTGTGTAAGAGGAATTCAATGTTGGATAAGGTGAGAATTGTCTAATAAAGGTCTGTCTTGCTGAGCTCTCAACCAAAATTTTCAGATCACTGCTTTCGTTCTATCCCTCAGCATTAGTGGCAGGAAAACGTATAGTGATTTAAGGTAAATAATTGTACCTAATAACTATAGGCTGACATTATCAATCATTAGCACGTCAATGGTATCACCATTTCATAGTTATTCAGTATACTATTGCTGATTAATCAACGTGTTAAATCCAATTTATCGTGATAGTTGGTGCCTCTCTCGAGCAGTATGGCTTTAGCCTTTTTTTTCAGAAACTCACGGTAAACAAAAGTTGCCAAATTTTCCTTCCTAACCACGCTCTGCGTGTTTTGCGTCGATTCATCACTGGCACTGGTACAGGGAAATGTGGGTTAAAGTTCGCACTTCTTATCTTTGGTCAAAATGACTGTACCGGTTGTTCCTTTAATCTTGAGGTTCCTATTCGGAGGTACATATCATAACGCGGGCACAACTGTGCACCACAGTCTGTCAGTGGCCAGTCAACTACCCTAATATGTTTAAGTGTAGTTGGGGTTGTTGACATGTACTATTTGGATGAACAGGCCTCATATTTATCTTACCTTCTCAAAAATAACAGTTTCCCTTACATTCACGTTGCTAATCATATGAAGTGGTCAGTGTGTCTTTGGAAGGAGACGTTGATAGATTGTGTTGCATGAAGTGGGCAGGCGATCTAGATGTCGCTTCATCAGATGATGGTTTAAGGAGGAAGGTTCATTATTACTTGTTGCCTAGCAGGTGTCGGTTTTACTACCTTGCCGGTGCACTTGAGTATTCATCAGCTGCGCTCTGACAATGGGAAAGGTGCTTATCTAGATTTGCATTACCTGAGACAAGAAATTATGGCCACCGAAGGGGATAGCCTTAAACCCGATTACCTACAACGAGATAAAGCATGCATCATTATTGATAGTTAAGCTTTTCTTCAGCCCAAAAAGCCGCCCTAGAAACACTCGTAAGCTTGGAAAATGCGGCAAATTATGAAACCTTTCTTTAGAGCTTAATAATACTTTTCTAATGGCAGGTTTTTCTCTTGAAGAATTTGTTTGAGGCTGATGTAATCTTGGATGCGAGGAGGGTAGAGCAAAAGTACAATTGAGTTACGCCCCTTGCATATTGCCTCATCCAAACTCCTTTATGCCTCTGAGCACACCCTTTCCGGGCTTCAAATTTCTTAAATCTCGCGTAAGTGGTAGTGTTTTAATAAAGATCTTTTTTAAACGCCGGAATTCAAAATCACTGTTCTAAGATCTCGCACTTACCAAAGTAAGTTACGGTTGTGATTTTCTTTTCAACCAAGAAGTTACGTTTTCTTACTACACATTTTGTAAAACACTAACATCATTTTTTTCTGGCTAATCTTATAATTTTCATGCGGTTCCCCCTTATTCTGTTCTAAACACACTTGTAAACTAACCCAACATTCTCATTGGTTGACTTTTGCCCGTAGAGTCCGTGTGCAGGCGCTGAATGCTGTCGGCGTTAGTCCCTTCTCAGGAATTCTCCACTTTTCCACCCTCCCACCGCTTCCATTGCCGCTGACGCTGTGTTGTGTTGGAACCACCGCGAGTGGTATCAAACTTCGGTGGTCTTCGTCCGTCGACTCGCACGAAACCGATGAGGTGCACCCGAAGTCGAAACCCTCGACCTCGACCAATATCAAGTACATCCTCGAAATGAGCAAAAAACCGGAATCAAAGTGAGTTGTACTTTCGATCACAAAGTCACACATTTACTTACTGCCTCACCTAACACCTTCCTCACTCCACCGTTCCTTACGCACACATTAATGTTTCGCAGGGGCTGGGTAACCATCTTCGAGGGACCACAAACCTCTTTTAAGGTGCGCAAACTGTCAGAGGCCACACGCTACTACTTTCGTGTTGCCGCAGTTAATATCAGCGGAAAAGGCGCCTTCTCCGAGGTCCTGCATGAAAAGACCGCTTACTCACAACCACCACCTGTTGAAGGTAAAAACCGTTGTTAAATAACTTCACCCTTTCGTGCGTGAGTGAAAAGAAGGTTCCTTTAAAAATGAGGCGACTCATGTTGCTTTCACATAATTAAATGTTTTGTTAGGATTACCCTTTCCGAGTAGCTTTTTTGAGATTAATCAAATCTCTATTTGTTCTTTTTGATTGCCATCAGCACCACAAGTGGTTGACGTCTCTCACACTCAATGCAAACTTCAGTGGCCGACACTGAATAAAATGGGACATGACCCGTTGATCTATCTGGTTCAGTTAACCCGCGTCCCTGGCATCTCTAGTACAACCACCATTACAAAAACGGCGTTGGGATCTTCACCATCGACTGAGTCTGAAACCGTGACTACGGCAGGGGTGCTAACAGAGGCGTGGGAAGGGGAGGAGGAGGCGGTGACGGTCTACCGGGGAGCGGGGACTTCTTGCACCATTAGTAACCTTGCCTCTGGTACCAACTACATCGCCAGAGTCTGTGCCATCCGCTGTTGCCAAACCGAACATCCGGAGCAACTACCTCTTTCGACTTCTAAGGCCGAAGTCGATCAGGAACTTGTTACTCTACAGGTCTGCTTCTATATTTTGCAAAACGTGGATTGGAAGTCTTACAGAGCAAAAACACGATTTGGCTTATGCGCAACTCTATTCTAGACCCCATTACCAGCTTCCTCATCGAGTTCCACATGCGCAAAGATAATGCTGATACACGGTCCCTTCTCCGTTGGTACGGCTTTCACAACTCTGCCAAAAAAGCGAACATTCGTAAGCGAGTTGATCAACTTCGTGTTGCTCAGATCGACGCTCGTCAATTGTCGTGCGACTCTGCCTCCATCGACAACACATTCGGCGCAGGAGAAGTCGCCATCCCCTCCGCCTCGACGCCCATCCATGTTAGCTGTGAACCACCTCATCGCAATGTTTCAACGCTTGCGTGCGTACGCGTTCTTTCGACACATCAGTGGTCACTCCATGACCTCATCACGGGAGCGTGCCCAGCGTCGAATGGCCTGCTTATTTGTCATCGGTTTTGTGCTATTCACACTGCTCTGCGCCTGGTTTGCAAATCAGTTTCTTCTCAAGTTTTCCGACGATGTCTCGCCAGCTGCTAAGTGGCCTGGTGGTGGTGGCTCCCTAGAAGACAGCAGTTCCTCTGCACGGGCTGCTCTTTATGCCACTCGTGGGCGTCAGTACCACCAGTAGTCGTGATCGCTTTCTGTCTTTGCATCTCTGCCTCCCTGTCTCACTTCCTCCCTTCTTGTGTGCGCGCGTGCGTGTTCGTCCCTTGTCTTGTCTTTCTCCTCCACTTGTGCTTTCCACCCCCTTTCCCCCTTCCATGCATACGTGCACGCATCCCATCTTCCTCTCTATCGTTGTGTGTGTGTGTGTGTGTTCGGTGATGGACCTCTGCCTTGATTCTCACGTTATGCACACAACTACAGCTAAATCTATGCGGCGGCGTTGAGAGGATGGGACATGGGTGCGGTGTGGCGTGGTGATCTCCTCATGGCACCTTTTCGGCCTCGCCCTTCCCCTTCTCCTCTCGTACGGAGTGCACTGTCCAGTCTTTAGTCCCTCCTCTCCCTTCCCCTGCCCGGTCTCCATGTGATTAGACAGCGTTACCTATGTTTTTACCGCCGCCCTCTGTGTACATGATGTGCAGGCGGGCATTTTCACAAACACACAGCAGCAAATACCGCACACGCATACACATCCCAACCAACCTGTGGTATATTTTTTTTTGATTTATGTCGGCTTTTTTCTCGTGTTTGACTAATTTTATGAACCTTATTTATTCTCCATCAGGACTATAGGCACGTAGGCTATGTTGGATGATGCTACTGCTGGTGAGTGGGAGGGTCCCCCTTTCCTGGTCTGCAAATATACATGTGAATGGGATTGCCGTTCCACCGACTATTCCAACACACGATCTGCTTTGAAGACGGTTGGTCAGATCCTTTGCTCTTGCATAAAACCTATTGTCTTTTCTCTCTGTCTACCTTTTATCCTCCTCCTGTGACCTCAATGAAGACAATCAGTTGGTGTAGTTGATGATCTCGCTTGTCCGTCTGTGTGTGTATGCCTGTGTGGATGTACGTGTTCTCTTGTGGTTGCGCTCTCTCCTTTTTCAGATATACACATTCTAAATTAAGATGCTTTGATCACATACACCACAAACGATGTGTTGGCGCTTGTTACGTAGGTGGAGGTGGGAAAGTAGCAACAACTCCGGTATGTCGTTACGTGGCTTTGCTCTACTGCCTGTCTTTGATTGAGAGCTATGATTTGCAAATGCGATACTGGATCCTGCGTTCAACAGCGGTTTGTCTCTTCTGCTGACTGGGCGTGATACCTAGTTTAAGAAAAGTGCATCTGTTTATGGCTGGGTTTCATCTGAGGAGGCATTAGCAACATTTCATGATAAAATGAGGGAGCAAAATCCTGTCGAACCCATTGCGTAGCTGTTTATTGCTGGATGTAGGCTCCACGGCCAAAATAGTACGCAGTCTAGGCAAATAAACGGGAGCGGAGTTCGGGCTGGCTGACATGTCTTCCACTTCCCCAGAAAGGTATAAATCTATACCCAAAAACAATCTTGCTCCGTTATGCAGCTTGAGTTGCTGCTTTTACCGATTTGCATTTGTGACCCTTGACATAAACAGATTGTTCTTGATAACAAAGTTATAGCGAGTTAAAATACATGATTTGAAGCTCCTCATTGCCTTCAAAAGCACAAACTCTAAGTTTTGAAGAAAAAAGTTATGTGCTCCCCACTCTTTCGATAATGGATCGTGTTCATTAATGTTGGCGTAGTTTTACAGGAGTAAGGAAGCCATCGAACTGTGGCAAAATTTGCGTGATGAAAGAAGGGCTAACATGGAAAATGGCCATAATAATTTGGCAACTGTCAGGCATTCCAGTGTATAAAGTTGCATTGCGATGAAAATTTGGAATTGTAGTTATACCTTACAAAGACGCCAAAACTGTCAAGATGTTCGGGGCGCTTTCGTAAAAAGACGAGTCTTTGGTGCAGTATGCACGGGTGACGTAAGCAACTTTCTAAGACTATAATGTTTTTGCATCATAAAGGACAACATATGAAAACAATTCATCACCAAAAATGAAACCTCCATATTTCACAATAAGACCATCTAGGCTTTTAAATTTTTAGGGAGCTGAGTTATTATCGCCAGGTATTTGTGCTGTTGAAATAATAGTTTAAATTGACTTTCAGTTGGAAAAAAGTGAATTCAAAAGGTGCGGGAGGAGAGAGCGAAAGGAGTCACCTCATGCGCATAGCCAAGTTCACAACATTATTTTCAAGTTATTCGAAAGTGACTGGTTGGATTTCAATAAAATAAAAGTGCCACAATTTCGTTTACCGCTTGCGTTTTAAAGCGGTAGCACCCAAAGCCATTCTTGAATTTGCAACGAGTCAATGTACTGTAAAGAACATAATACTTGTGTAAAAAAGAGGTGAAAGGCCACCAGCGTAACGAATTAATTGTAAGTTTTTCAATAGGTTTTGGTGCTGAGCCACTTTTGGGCTCCACTACCATACGTCCGCCCGGTGACCAGGCCTCCGAGCCACTCCAGTAGCCTCTGACCTTTCTGTACCTAAGTAATACATGTGTAACTCAAGTGCTATGCCTCCTATCATCCTCAAAAAAATCCGGGAGGCTACAACTAGAGCAATTCGAAGAACATACTACAAGGCAGATGTAAGATTCAGGGTCCCAAGTAACTAAGCAAAGTAGTGAATTACTGCAAAGCAATTATTAATACCAGCAAAACTTGGCATATCTAGAAAGTGCATATTAGACATAAAAGCTTAGATTAATGTAATTTAGTTTTTCACACTGAAATGAGCAGTTTCATATCGATGGAAGCAATAAAAATATATCGGAGAAAAATAAAAAAGGGTTGGCAAAGGAACCTATTTATAATACTTAAGGCATCTATTTTATTTTCGCTCTTCTCTAAATGTAGTGTCTTATATTTGTTATTTACATACATATAAATTTCTAATCCATACTTTGTCAAGGCTGTTTCTGTTTGAGTAGATAACTTCATTGTGCGGGCTTAGTAAAACGTTGTTTTCTTGGTCGGCAGTTGTGACTTTTCACGGATAGATATGCTCTCTGATTCTGCACCCAGAGGAAATGCTTTCATTCGTTATGGGACTCGAGCTTTGCACATAATTACGGGGATAAGTATGCCATTCACTATTTGTAACCGATGTCTAAGTGTGTTGCATTCTTGGGATCGTCGGAGCCATTGGGTTTTCCGTTATTTGCGTTTTTGCAGGAATATTTCTTTTGTAAGACTTCCTACAACTATGAGGCATTTACTTCGTTGCTTTGTTTTAAGTAACTGTTATTGTTACCATCGTTACACAAAGCAGATATTGATAGTCGACTGCATTTCGGGAGGCGGTACAGAAGTGCAGTCAGCTTAAATAGTCTTAGTAAGGCAAATAAGACCTTTTGCTGGTTCTAGTACTGTTTGAGTAGATCTTTTTAGCCTTTTTGCATTTATGCATTATTTTTGATGACTGCGGTGTATTCTAATTTTTGTTCTCAAACCATCTTTAGCCTCGTCGGGCTTTTCATACTCCTCATTGAGATGCCGTTTTGCTGCGCATTTATTCCACAGACCGAATTTATTGCGCGTATTGTTGACAAGATGGGCCCTCTTCCCATCGCCATCGTCTGCATAATGTATGCCTGATTATTCCTTATTAATCGTATTCTTTTCCCCATTTTCCTGCAATATGGTTAGTAATTCACCCGGAAATCATGATGCAGCATTTAGTAAATCGTTCTGCTCTTCACTCATTGAGAAAGTGAAAAGCTCTTTACAATATCTGTCGATTATAAATACTTCCTGTCTTGGTTCACGCCATCTACTCCTATTTTCTTATAACTGAATACCTTAATCTTCTGCCTGAAACCCAAAAGTATTACAGTGGTTGGTTTTTGAATCACTTCAACCTATTAGCCGCACTTATTTGTTTGCGCCTTGACATGGTTCCTCAGTAAAAATACTGCTTTCGACTGCTCTGAGACTCCTAAATTTAGAATAGTTTAACTTCTGAATTCGGACAGAGAAATCCTATTTGCATTTCTTTTTTATTTCAGCTGAATATTAGCAGCATTGTGTGTTTGTATGCAGTGCGTAGAATGCACTCAGCCTATTCGTTCAGTTGCCGCTTATTATTGCACATCCTATTCTTTTACTTCGTTTAATTATTGTCATTGTCTGTTGCGTAAAAGTTTTCGGTTGGTTTCGCAATTTCCGTTGTGTGAACTATATTTAAATGTCCCTCAATTCTGTCTCTTTCCTGAAGTATTGGCATAATCGCCATGGCAATGTGTCCCAGCATCTCAATGGGCTTCGCTTTGCTGTTTCTCCTCGCTTCCGCAGCTGTGCGAATTCGGGAGTTCATTTTGGTGAGGTGAGTGGCAAGTTTTGTTGTAATTAGTCTCATTATCAATGTTGTTCTTCTGCTGGTCAGACTCTTCTGGTGAGTCAGTACACTTAGGCTTGAAATCGCATACAATTAAGTTTGCTTTGCCTAAACTGCCTGACGTACCACCATCATATAGTTTCAGAACTGCTACACGATATGTGAAAGTTCAAGCTGATACAGTATCACTGAAAGCCTTTTGGTCATCATTATCACCCAGTTAGCTCTACTCTCCATTTCCATGCCATTATAAATACCACATCCACTTCACTTCATTGTTGCAGTTAAGTACCCCATTATTAGTGCGTACATTTCTTGTAAAGCTACCAAAGATCCTCCAGTAAGTAGGTAACCTTAAAAAGACTGGATGCATGTCGTGCAGATATATTCAGTCTGGGTAGGTTTACCATCTTGCACCAGTGCCACGTGCATCACGCTTGCCCAAGCTCTTATAAGCTCATTTAGTCGCTTCTGAGCTTTATCAGCACTAAATGATGTCCATTAATTTGTGTATATATACACGGTTTAACTATGAATGAAAGCATGTCAATTAGTCGCAGCATCACAGTCAGATATTTTTGTTTTTCTAATGTTTTCTCCAAAAGTTAATGGGGAAGAGTGGATACACTATAACAGATTTACTGCTCTATCATTTCGTCTGCTTCGTGTGCTGTCCTCAAACCGCCTTCCCTTCTTACTTTTATATGCGTGCATGCACGCGCGTATATGGGACCACGGACTCTGCAACTTTATGCTTCTTCTGCGTTGAGCACTTAAAATTCCTCTGCATTGACTTGATCATTTAGCACTACAATCGTATCGTCGCGTCCAACCTGCTTAATCGTCCTGATGGAGCAAAGAAAATTATAAACTATATAATGGAATAAGTGATTTGCTCTCTTTACCTTAAGGTTAACGACTGAAGTTGCATCGTGAGACCAGATTGTGAGCTCCTCTGCTAGAAGATGTTTTGATGCGGTGTCAAACTTTCCAGTACTTTCGCAGAGCTTTTGGTATCGAATTCGTGATTTTCTTAACTGGCATCTCATCAACTTATTTCTGTTGATATGTGCTATAAGCTGGGGTCTTCTTAACTGAGCTACAAATCTTCACTGTGAATTACGCAACTGGACTACTTCTGGATTCCAATTTTACCATACTTTTATCGTGCCGAATACAATAAAAAAGATGAAGGTAGTCTAGAGACCAACGATTGATCTGATTCATCGAGCATAGTCGTCACCTGCATCGTCACTCGAATGATTAGCGGTCATGTGAATGGCACTACGCTTTTTCCCGTGTTTCCAGCTCACAAGATCGCCTCGGAACTATTGTTCGTTGGAAAGTGAATCATCCTGCGTCGGGGTCGAGGAATCTGTGCATTTTGAATTTGTACTCACGTCTGGATACGTATACAGACCTCATGATTCTGACGCTTTTAGTGTCCGCTGTAACACCATATTGCTGTCTTTGATATGCATCATTTTCCTGACTTTACGCTTCTGGCAGCTTTTTCCATTTTTTCAAGATTTTCACTAGATTAAACCACAATTTGTCAAAAAAATATTGCTTAGTTTTAATTTGATGTTGAGATTTGTCCCACAGCCGGACTTATCTTAAGTTTAGCCTTCTGAGTTACTCATCGGAAAAGGTATAGATGAATAGCTGAAGTCCGATGAAGATCATTATGTGCTGTAAGACGGCGACTCCGTGGAAGCAACTCAGATACACGAGGACAACACGTAACTAGGCAGTAAACGATTCGCATTGGAAACCGCGTTTATCCCTTTAGTGGTGGTTAGTCAGATGAGTAGCCAATCTCCTAGCATGCCGCCCAGTTGCTCAAAAACCGCAGCGATGTGGGCCGCATGCGCACCGCTCAGCGATGGGGCAACTGATTGAAAAACAGCTGCAAGAATAAAAAGGAAGAAAAAAGGGACAAAATGGCCTAAAAATGGACTCTTTAAAAGTACTCATTTCGACTAGGCTCTGGCACGAATTAGATATCTCTACTTCCGCGCGGAGAAATCCAGACGCTGAATCTCCGATAAATAACCTGTTTGTCACAAGTCTAATCTAGTTTCCACTTGTTTCTGCATGCACGAATTCTCGCATTAGACGACAGGCATGGCCTAACACGTCCACTGTGCGAATGAATAGGGTGATCTTTTTTAACTGCTATTTGTGTTTACATTTGCTTTTCATAAGCACATCTGCCCCGATAACTGCACTGTGCATTCGACTGCTTGCAGTACCGTTCTTTTGCTGGTATCAATATTTCTGACTTCCATCGCATGCTACCATTGCTCTGGTGATGTCTCCGCGCTTGCAAAGATCCGACTTTATTTCTGCTTTGGAGTTCTCATTGCTGAATTTCCATAGGTCGTATGAAATGAAATTTGCGACAAGTCGATGCTATGTGCTTGAAAAATCAGGATATGTAGCTGTTTGATTGAGCGCCTTGGAAGAAGTTGTTTCAATCCCGCTCTTCATTTCTTTAACTTTCCACCCTTTCACCAATGATTTTCTATTCTTTGGTCAGTAGAAACCACGTACTTTCGACGATTATTTTTTTTCAAAATCTTATGGCATTGGCTACTTTTAATCACTTAAGAGTATGAGGACGAAGCGTTCCATTTAACAGCTGTTAAAGGCAGTACTGGCACATTTGTTCTTTATGTCCCTTTTGGCAGAGGCGGAAGTAAGATAGGTATTTTTACCATTTGAACTGCTGAGCTGTTGAAGGGGTGGCCTACATTCCCACCAAGTGTTGACATTCGGACCCATTGTGTTGTCTGTCCAGGCCTGTCGCATCAGGTCTCACGGTTCATTAGTTGAATTCGGTGCGTAAAGTAGCTAGAACTGTTATAGGCTGGCTGTAATTCTGGAGACGTGGACTACAGTCTGGATGTAAAAACAACAGAGTCTCCCTAAAACGCCTATCTGCACAGAACCGTGTCGTCGGGATAGCAGAATACAAAAGCCAAGGACAACGGTCTGTTTAGCTGCCGGCAGACCGAGCTGTGTTGGGTGAGCCCCACGATTCACACTTACCGTACATGAGGAAGTGAGGGAGTAAGGTGACTAAGGGAACTAAGGGATACTGACCCTCTTGAGAAGATTGGACTTTTTCCGTCTTCTCACTTGCAAATTTTTTCCCCAGCTGTTTAAGCCCAATCTCTGCATTGACAGTTCTTAACTGCCCTGGGGAAAGTTGGTCTGCACTCGCGTCTCCATCGTTTTTATTTGAACCACTAGCAGACAACACTGTAGCGACCCACTCATTCTTTTCTGGTGTCCTTCTGTCGTGTCTTCGTTGGCGCGCAGTCTATTGTCACACCATATACGAATGTCTTAACGACCCGGGATTTAAACAATTTTTTCTTGCGCTGATTAGCCTTTGTTTCTGCTGAAGACTTAACTTTTTTACCTTTGGTTGTTGGATTTGCTCACTGTCACACAAGAACCATTTCTCGCTATGAGCCATTTGGCAATAAATATGACTCGGAGCGGCCTCGTAGCGCGGAGCGAAGAACGAGTTGATGGTCTTTGTAGCTTGTTTGATTAGCCTCCACGACTTTCCTTTGCAATTTGATATAGGCACAAACGAATAGTTCCACCATTTGCGTTAAGCATGCCTGAAAATTCATGGCGCGTTAATCTGGAATTAACTTGCTAATTGTCATTCATCACTACCAAGAATAAGTCTTTTTGAACGTGATGCTTCATCCCAAGAATCAAATCGTTTCAGCTACTTCAGGTAAATCGTTCCGCCATCGAACCCTCTCGAAATTTTATACAAAAACTGACTAGGAGCTCCTGTGGCTTTGAAATCGAGTTTAAATTCATGAAGCGGGCAAACTCAAAACATATCGGATTCGGTCGACATTTTGTGGTATAGAGGCTGAAAATAAAGAAATAAGACAGACGCACGAAAGACTACCGTACCAGTGCATCGACACATATCTGTCTGTTTTACAATACACAAACAACCGCATACATAGTAAACCATAATAAAAATTGCACGAACTTTTCTAATCACCTGGTGGATGCTTAAGGAATCGTCACACCGCATCCGATTTTAGTGACTTTATGAACCCACTCGTAAAGTTTGCTACTAGAGCTGAGCAATCCACATAACTCCCTGTATCACTGGGCATGTGTAGCACCCGAGGAAGCCTTATTGTCGAAGCACGGAAGGGCTGAGAGGCTAGTCGCACATGCAGCCACCAGCAAAGGCTAGATTTGGGATTGCGAAAAGGCCCACTCAACAGCACACACGTGTGAAATGGTAGTTCATCCGATGGTTCAAGTTGATCCTGTTCGCTTCCCACAAGTTTTGTCCATTACCAAATCATTACATACTAACCCCCTTGATTTACTCTATCAGTTTAATTTTGTATTTGATCAAAGTATTGCTTTTTTCTTTAAATTTCAGTACTCGTAGAACTCAACTCACGAGACTGAAAACATCCATGTATTAGTACATGAACTAAGCGTGTGTGAGCCTCCTCTTTTAGACGAGCGCGATCGCAGGGTGGCGTTGGAATGCGGGCTGAGTCGGGACTGCACAACGCACCGCAACCGGCGTACTCAGGGGTGGAAAACGCTTTTCCGCCTGCTGCGCCAGCCTACGGCACCGACTCCATGATGGATAGCATGGCTGCGGGCGCGATAAGGGGCGCTGCGCAGGCCGTCATGCAGAAACCTGGCTACTAGCCGACTGGATTACCTCTGTTGCGCCGCTCATTTGTCGATCTCCTGTAACTTCGTTGTGATAACACTTCTGCTGTTGTATCCCAATGCAAGTATGCACTGTCGTTCGTTATTCATTCACTTCTTTTGTATACAACACCGTGTCACGCTCCTCCCAATATACTCGTTTCCGTGTACTTGCCCGTCAACTCATTTGAGTACTCGACAAGCCCCTTCGGAATCCATCAGTTAATGGTAAGCAATAACATCACTTAGACAGAGTTTTGGATGCAATAGCAAGGGTTTTACTGATTACGGTTTGATGATCCTGGTAACAAAGAAGCTGGAGGAGTATGGATCAGAATCCTCTACGAGGATGGGATTTGATGTTGGAGGCAGGCTTCAAATATCAAATTTCTTACAGTTATTGAGATGCGACCAAAAGTCCTCCAATTTGCGGTTGGGAAATCGGATCCGAAATTTCTCCTCGTAAATTTTGTAAAATACTTCATTCTCCCTCGCCAGTTCTTTCGCCTAAGATTTAGACAAGAATAGCGTAGATACAGGAAAAGAGTCAGTGTGGCCAACTTGGAATGGTCCGCTTAGGGTTGCAGTAAGGTGACTTGATGAAGTGGTAGCTTTTAAAAAAGGGTAAGCAAAGCGTGATTAGACAAGTACCTTTTCGGCGGGTAGTGTTGTAGCTTCTGCCTCCTGGCTAAGAAAGGGCCTGGAGAGGTAGCGTTCATTTTGTTGGGTCAAAAGCAGCTCATCCATGAAAGCAGCCTTACGCGAGGCAGTCAATCGAGGTATTTTTCTCTGTTTTCCAGCCCACAAAGAACCCGGCACGCGTTTATAGGGAATGAAGTGACCCAAAAGAAGGGATGTCAACCTCATCGCCTGTAAAGTACAAATACAAGATCGACCTGTCAAAGCATGCGTGCACGCACAATAGAATGCACGTCAATGTACTCCACCAAAAAGGGATTGACTGCACGTTTCAAGACATATATTCGCCTAGACCTGGGGACCTTACCGCGTACTTACGATGTGTTACATCTGATTTAGGCACTGACTAACCAATCCAAAACGCCAGTTCGGGGACTGGGAATACAGGTATATCGATTATTTTTCCAACTTAAAATACAGGTATAACCTCATGAAGGATAGTAGATCCGAGCTAGTAGGAAGACTCTCAATTAGCGATATTGCAAAATGCAACAGAGGCAACTCTTCCAAATGATTAAAACGCAAGCCACCGGCATTTCAGAGAGCGGGTAACGCAGGAAGGATGACCACTCATAAAATAAAAAGCTTACTGGGAGAACTGGACCTCAGGGGCGCCACCGCATTTAAAGTACCCACCACACAGTAGGAGAAAGTAAAATGCATGTCCTAAAATCAAACATATGACTAAATAATACTAACTTTTAGGCTTAAATTTCGGAAAAGAATCCGTAAATTGTAATAAAGGGTATCTGTAAGAGGTAGCAGTTGCGTAAACTCCAGTCGTTTTCCCAATGAAGTAGGGTCAAATCAGTGGAGAAAAAATGACTTCGGTTGCAATTAAAAGTTACTTTCACTTAAAATGTTAATCATTAATTTTATTGCTTTCTTGTTCCGAATTATGTAGTTATATTTATATCTACTTTATATCTACTATAAACCACATCAATTAAGATTTTAATTTCTAAAAATCTAACTTACGTCTACCTTCGGTTCTACATTGGTGGCAGCAGAAAGCAAAACCCATCTTAAGGGGCAATCATCCTGATTTCTATTACTACATGATAAACCCTAGCGTGATGGAAGAAGTACAAATGGTGCGAATGAGAGAATCTGTGACGACGGCCAATAGAACGGTTGCAAATGACGTCTACCGTTGGCAATTGTCCCACTTCCGTGTTCTACAGGAAAGCCATCAACAACTAAGGTGATACTAGACGTTACCCATTTGAGCCGTTCGTTACGGAGCTGTCTACTGTGCCTGTACACAACGCCTCTTAGCTAGCAGGATAGAACCCAGATAGATATATGGCTAGACAGCACCGGAGTAAAAACAATGTTGTAAGGAAGAACAGAAGTGGATTCTTATTAGCTCAAAACTATTCAAAACTACTATTTAGTTACATCACTGCTGTCAGGTCGGTATTCTCACGAATGTATATTGACACGTGTGATGGCCAGCACATCCCCTTGTCCCCCTAATATAGTTCCCAATTTAAACGAAACTGCAGATCATGTGGAATTGCTAACTGGGGTTGATGACGTTGCTGTCAAATATCATCTCAGTTGCATGGGAATTTGATCACCGGCGCGGTCGGTTCGTGGGTGTTGTACTTACAGCACCAACTACCACTTTGTGATGGTCAACTCTGAAGGTTGACCAAATGAAGAGGCAGGAAAGACGGTCAAAATGAGTAGTAAAAACCTCCAAATGAGGTCGGTGCTGTGCTGAATTCTCATTTGATGAAGAGAGCATTTAGAATGGTCCTGATTCTTGAATATTAAGCCCTCAGAGAGGTGATTTCCATCGAGGAAGAAGTTATTCGGCTAAAGCATGCTCTACAATGGTATATGCTGTGTGCTAATCGCTAGTAAAATTAAAACCAACATGAGGAGAAAGAATATCCTGCACCCTTACTTTGGCATGACCTGGAGTGTGTAGAGACCCACAGGAAGTTTCACTTCAAGGTTAGTTTTGGTTAGCAGATTCATGATACTTCTCCGTTGATGGCCGTTGTGTAGACCCCGAGAAATGATGTTTTGACATTTTGCAAAGTTGTTAGCGTGAAATACCGATCCCCCCTTTTTTCATCCCCATTTTTTCGTCCCTTATAACTTTTTCATCAGTGTCCAAAGCACTGCTACTTCCATTACTCAGCGGTACATGGTCGTACTGGGCGGCACCCGCTTGTCACTGTTGTTGTTGCTAAAGCTTTCTCATAGAATCGGCAACTCGCATGAAGGCAAGTTTTTCGCTTGCTTCTGATTTCTGCATAATATAAACCACGACAAATAGGATAAACGCAACTCCCTGCTTGAAATGTCCGCTGCTCGGTTCCGTGTTCTACCCTCCTCATGCTGCAGCCAAAATAGTAACGCACGCTCGTCCATAGTGTTCCCGCGCAGGTTTACCCATCCACAGCAGATAACTCCTGTCCGTAGCGTCTGAACAGTTTAGCCAATCAACGAAATTGGAACTATCCATCACTTGGAACGGGTTTGCCTACTGCTGCTACCAATTTAGCTCTCCCAGCCTTCCCTGAAGCCGAAACGAGACATACCGACACAGAAGAATGCTTAGTGCAAAGCACATGAAGCTAGAAGCCAACAAAGGGTCCCAATGGCGAGCTAAAAATGCGATCTGAGAAGAACGAAAAATACGTATAGACATGCATCTAAAAGGATATCCGTTGCCTATAGTATCGTCTTTTCCCTATGAAGTGTTGGTGATGAAATGCGACCATTTTATTGCGAGCAAATTTTTATAAGAAGTATGGCCTTATATCCTACCAGTACAGGTAAGACAAATTTTCCATACTGCAGCACCCACCTCGTCACTGAGTGCGTCGACGGTGTGAGCCTTTACTGTAAGTGGTTGGGGCCTTTTAGAGGCAGTGGCATGTGGAAAATACCATGAAATAGAGGATATAACCAAAGTCTGGGGATACAAAAGTTCCACCTTAATTAAGCCCCAACTTAATTAAATGGTTTCTTTGGCAGTATTTTATCGTCCCCATTTTGGTGAAGCTATTAGGTAAATTTTGAGTTTGCTAGCATTTAGATAGTGAGATTGAACAGCTTTCTCTCCGTAGATTAAAACTGTTGCGGTTTGACCTGATGATTAAACTTTTATACTGCACGGTGAATTGACGCGAAGGCACAGTCGATGTGATGTACAGGTTGACTCCTTAAAGGTTAACTCGAAGCAGCGCTATTGGGGTCGTTTCAAGCACCCTCGCATAAACCAAACTGTCCGAACAGCCTTTGCCGTTAACTCGTTCCTTACGAGCAAACATTGCATATGAGTAGAATAAGTTTGAAATATAAAACAATTATTTGTACCACTGTAGCGCCCGTAGACTTTCCTGAAGACAAATGAAGCCAATACTCGTACAGAATGTTTTGCAGACGTACAGAAGGGCTGGGGGTTGTTGGCATGGCGAAGCTGGGTCAGGCCACTTGGTGGAGGTACAATGGTGGAACACTGAAGTAGCACCTTTATCAAAACCGAGAATTATACAAACATGTTACCTATTACGTATCCCCTCTCCTTTTAAGCGTCATCCCCTGCGCTCCCCACGGTTCACGGCCATGGCTAGTGTCCCTTCAGTTGTTAATGGCTTTCCTGAAGAATGCGGAACTGGAGTAGCTGCCGCAGGTAGACGTCATTTGCAACCCTTCTGTTAGGGGTTATCACAGATTGGCCCCATTGGCAGCATTTCACAAAAGAGATCAGGGTGGTTGCCCTTTAGGATTGGCTCCACTTTCCTCTACCACCAATGTAGTGTCCTGTGACTTTCTTGAAGGCGAAAAGATTATAAAACTAGGGCCTAAAATAAATTACGAACGCACATAAGTCGGGGCAGGGGAGCTACTGGCATGACCTCTGGGCCATGCCATCCAGCGGAAGCGCAGGAGCGCGGTCCTAAGCACCCGAAAAATAATCAAAGCATAACACATGGTTATAGCAGTCAAAAAATTATTTATTTTATTTGAAAACTAGCCTTGCCTCATCAGTAGCAATTATGCAGATAGTAAATTTAGTGCGCTTGCCAAACACCTTTCATCAGCGAGCCGCCGTGGACCTAACTATCCACAGCCCATGTCCTTCCGCAAGCGTGTTCAGTTTCGCTTTTTTCCCGCTGATTTACTTATTAAGCATTGCGGCTAAAAACGCCTTTTTGTAAACGCTATCACCAACTGGGTATTTAAGATGGCTTGCTAGTTTGTAATTCCAGCCTTTTAATGATTTCTAACAATGCTTACAAGGAGGAGTGCACATGGAACCTTCTTTGGCATTTTCTTTTAATGAACCTCTGTTTTACTAAACCAAGACTCCACTTACGAATCCAACGTTAAAAAGCCAGAGTCTTTTTTATTCATCAATGTCATTTTTACAATAGGAAATGTTGTCCTAAAAGCACTTTTTGGATTCACCTGGAACAAAGGATTGGTGAGTTGGACCTGTAAATCACCAATCACGTTTTGTTTGTGATTTAGAACTCACATATAATATTCGTAAAACTGTACCTTAACCGTAGGATATCATGATTGCCTTAGCCACAGTGTACTTGTTCTTCGCTCTCATTCGCGGTAAGTCTCACAATGCAATTCCTTCAATTAAAGGATATTTCATGTGCGTTTGGGGAACTAAATCCATTGCGTCATTAAAAAAACAAGTCCACAAAGCATTCTTGAGTTGTAACATAATGTTATGCATTCATTAAGTACAAGCCATGCTTAAAAATTGCTTCCACCCTGATGACTAGCGGAGTCGAATCAATGGGGCTCTCGCGTGATAGGAGAAAAGTATGGGAGCTCTGGACCGATGGTTTTTCGACTGAATGGAGTCGCGGTACAGAACGACACTACGTTGCAATTTTATTCAACTTGAACTATATTTCAATAAAATAATTGCCTTTTTTACCTTTCTTTAGGAGATAGAAGCATATGATCATTCCGGAAAGAAAATGGGGAATGTGGAGGTCATCGATGGACGCTGTTCTTTGGCTGGAAGAACTATTGGCTCACCGTGCACCAACAAAGATGGTAAAGTAGTGTATTTTTATTCACTACATTGATTTTGAATACTGAACTTTTTTGTGGTTCGTTAGGTGATGTTAGTCTCACTATGAATGAAGTGCGTGCTCAGTGGAAGCTTATAGTGAAAGGTAAAACCGAACCTGATCAAGCATACACGGTCCTCTTCGTTCCAGACTTCAAATTTCCTATCCCAAAAAAAGGTAAAGCAGAGTTTCCAAGCTTTAGGTGTTGCATTTTAGGTTACACAGTCCCAAGTATTTCAGTGCCCTTAACACGTTTTGCAAATGGGAAAGACGAGATCTACATAAAGTTTGCGGTGCAAGGAATAGACAACACAACACAAGTATGCGTCTTTGAAAAAGGTTTTTAAATGCTATGCTCCTGTGTTCAAAGGCTAAAATGGAGTATGAAGGCTGGGACGCGTGTGTATGGAGTGGGCCTTATTTAGTCGCGGAGTATTATCCCTACTTTTGCCGTAAGCTGCAAAGTCTTGATCCTTTTTCACCCCACAATAGATTGTCAGTCTAAGTAGCTTTGGCTTCATAAAGTCAGAATTTAACTGTAAAGTTGTGCTTGGTATTGCACTTTAATTATTACAGTAATTGAAACTCCCTTACATTTTATTTAACATTGACAAAAATAAATGCAGCTTTTAAGGGAATTTTTGATATCGTACACGTAATATGATAATGCTGCAGCGTCCAGTTTACTTTCAGTGACCTTTTAAGATGTGTGAGTCCGATGGGAACGTGGTCATGTGCGTAGAGGGGGATGGATGACCTGTTAATACGGACGTCAAAAGGTCTGCGTAGTTATGCCTAAAACTTAAACAAACACCATCCCGTCGCAACTCCACTATCAGTTCTACCTGCAGAAATGAAGACTGTAGTAGAGGCAAACAAAATTTTAAAATGACCGTAAACAAATCAAATCCTTCTATTATTGCCACCTTTCCTTCTATTAGAACCGTTGGACCTGGATTGGGATACCGACACCATGATTTTTGGGGGATTCTTTCCCAGGATGTATGCTGACTACTCTGTAATAAATTTCACTGCTGCGGACACCCTTACAGTTACTGTGGATTGGGGAGAGGCGGCCGAACATGTTCGTAAGTTTTCTTAGATTATCATATGCCGACAGTAAAAAGGTCATGCAGAACTTTAGGTTGCATAAAATACTTCACCGAAGACATTTCCATCATAAGGATCGTCAGCCTCGCCAGCGCTGATTTTAATCGACAAAAAAATGACGATCCGAGTAAAGCACTAGCAGCTTGTACAATTGTGGTTGGAAATTTTATACCAGTTTGCAATTTAGACAACTAATTAATACGAATGCATGTTGGACTTAATGAACAGCACTGGAAAATTAATTTTGTTGAGCCTTTTCCCGGCCATTTTTTAAAGGGCACGCGTTATTAAGGCGACTGTATTGATAAACATCCAAATTTATGTAAAAAAATCTAATCCAGTGGTCCAGCTGATGAAAAGGAGGTTTAAAAATACTGGGGTTCTGCTTAAATTGCTAACTTTTGTTTGTGCTTAGAAGCTAATATGGCTTAACACAATTTCCCGATGGCATATGATGGTAATTTTAGCGCCGTGTTGTATTTTCATAAACCTGCTTTCTAAAAAAACAGTATCTGCTGTGCCATAATGCATACAGTAAGAGGGTTTAGAACTACTTAGATTGTACTCATGGTTATTGTACCATTTGCAACCAATTCAAACGCACAACTATCTTTCACCACTATGTTTTCAAGCAGTGGCATTTGTTATATTTTATGCGTCAAAATCAAAGTAAAATGCAACATTAGGTCCGTTCCTCACGATGCGTATGTTATTCCAGACACATGTGTTTGTGAACTCTCACCTACGATTCTTCCCCTTTCAGCGGTCGCCTGAAGTATTTATGATACGCTGGTTACTTAACGCTCGACTTTGGTGAAGGGCCACTTCGTCTCCCCCATTGCCCTTAAGCCGGGTGGGCTGGCCCCAGGGCCATGGTAGCAGCCCCCCGCGCCCAACTCAACGTCCACAATACACATTCTACACCAGCATTATGTCTTCTCTCATCTTCAAGGAAGCCTCGAGGCGCTAAATAATGTATTACTGTGCCTGGGTTGATTGAATTGTGTCTCAAATAATTACTGATTCACATGCTTTAGTGATACTGAAAGAAAGATTTCATCATATTTAAGGAAAACTTCACTAGGAATAGTAGAATTACGAATTTAAAAATACCAAAAAGTCAACGATAACAAATAGAACGCAATTTTTGTCTTTTAATAAAATTAATGGCTAATGTTAACCCCCAAGCAGGTACCGTCATGCGAAAACACTGATAAGATGGTTGGGAGCAAGCCTTCATCCGATGAAGGAACGAGGATGCAGACCGTTTGCTTTGATGGATTCTATTCCTAGTTGATTTGCAGTTCTGCTGGAATAGCTTGCCTCGTGTATGTGGCACAACGACCCACTTTGCTGTAGTCTGCCATCTGCTCCACTGATCATCCGAAACAATAGTGATTAGGCTAATGACTTAATTATTTATGTCCATCAAAATCCCCTAAAATATGATCTCGAAGAAAACCACGGTCTGAAACGCTGGCTTTAAATGGGGGTGACACATGTGAAGATTGAAGAAGTCAAGAATCCAAATGTGAGCCAAGATATGTCCTCTTGATGTTGGGATGGAGTTCCATTTTAGAACTTAATTTAGGCTTATGAAATTCTGAAGTTGAGTTGCATGTTTGGCGAGCGTCAAGTACATGTTTATGATATTACGGTGCTTCCCTGAGTTAAATCGCTCCATCTACAGTGCTACCTACCCTTTGTGTTAGATTATATATCAAAGGGGTTAAAACTTTTGATAAAATTCGCGAAAAACAAATATTCGTGGGGATATGCCAGGAGATTCCAGACAAAGTCAAGGGCTTACTGCAGGCGGTAATAAGCGATGAAACACTTAGGATAAGTTAGCTAGATATCCTTTTGTTTTCTTCCGACAATGCCTCATGAAGAGTTGGGGTACATTCGCTTAAGCACAATTTTCGGGATTCAGTGTAACAACATGCAGTGTATTGCAATACATGTTTAATCAAATGTATCTTTTGGTCAGGAGGCGATCAGTAAATGGGAACCTCGTGACGAGTAGGGCGCCACGATATTCATGCCCCTTAATCAATTGCTACTCAGTGAAGCATGTCCTCGTCCGACTCGTCCACTCGTTCCAGGTATATGAACTCGGATGCGGTAGAGAGAAATACCGAGCCTACTGCAGTACTTTATTGGCTTAAAAACAAGTACTGACTTTGGACAAAAAAAATCATTTTTTGCAACGGCCATTCTGCAATGCTTATTGTACCAAGCATGAGACCATACCAGTCATTTTTGTTTCAAAATAGTTGATTTCATTACTTTTACGAAGAGGAATGTGTAAAGTACTGTAATGTGATTCTAAAATGCGAAACCTCCTCTCGGGGTTTGCATATAACTCAGTAATCAGAAACAACTCAGCGAACCGCTCTTTCTGATCGGTGCGTTAGCACAATGAAAATAAATAAGTAATTTCTGTTAAAACAGAAAGCTCCAACATAATTCCATGACAGGTGCCTCAGAGTGTGATGGGAATAAGTTTGACAAGGAGGGGACGGCATGCAAGATGCCTAGCAGATACACTCCGATGCCTGTGGTACAAAGAGTAATTGCCTGAGCTGCAGAGACGATCTTAGAGCACAAAAGAGCTGCATAACTTTCAGGCTGGTGATTCGCTTCTCTTCCCCGACTTGAAAGCCCGACTGATTAGGTGGCCAAAAAGAACTGCAGAAAAAGTGCTTCCTGGACGGAAAGATCATACTCGAGAAATGCTTCTACAAACAGTTGTTTTTGTTACCTTTCCGGCGCTATGGGGGCGCAAATTACTAGCAAAAAATTACTGTCCTTTATTTTGGCACTTTTATTCACATCCTTATAAAGCTTTCATTAAGACTTCCTGAACGGCACCAGCTTCGGCGATGTTGGTATCACTGTTGATCCCTTATGAAAATGTCTGTTCACCCGGCTAATCATGACTCTTA